TGTGTACATGTGAGATAGAATCTTGTGTCCAAACAAAGTGTGCTCACATGTAATCCAAAAATGAAGTTCATAGATGAAAATGAAGCGACTTGGCATAGTCTCATTAACAGAATGCTAGGGCATTAGGCAGTAAGACTTAACTCATCATTTCCTCTGAAATCATGCACCTCTCATGCTTCTCTAGATCACTTTGGACTTTAAGGGTTATAATGGGGCCTTGGGGGTGATATTTAGGTAAATGAAATGAAAGATATAGGATAGCAAAGAGGGTTGTTCCGAGTGAGAGACTTTTATTTTAGAAAAACACTTCCCTTTTCATGGGATTTTGATTCTCACACCATCACTACACCTTTGTTTCTTTTCTTTCTTTTCCTTAAAATTTTCTTTCTCTTTCGATCATTCTTTCATCTTCTCACCACTTTTCTTCATTTTCTTGAATTTTCATTCTCTCTCTCTCTTTTTTTTCAGCTCTTTGAGTTTCACATTCATCATCCCTTGCTTGAATTTCCACACCACATTTCCTTCTTTTGCAATCACTCATTTTTGCTTTAGGAACAACCAAGGTAAGGTAGATATTTTTTATCTTATTTGGCTTGGTCAAATGTGTGGCATAGAAACGAATTTCAATTAGGCTTAATCACGACACTAGGGATAATATTTGCACAAGAAAAAAAGGGCAAAGGCTCAAAATTTTGAACGATGGCCTAGGATCACTTCTAGGTCCGCATGGATGGCATTATATGATCAAGACAAATTAGTCTACTATCCAAATGCAACTAACCAAAACAAGCATAATGAGACTATTGAACAAATTTGACATTGAAAAATTGTTCTTTGAGTAATTGTAAGTTCCCTCCAAAAAGGATTTGGCACTAAAGCTCCCATGGATCCTTACTCATCTCCATTACTTATGTCAAGCTTAAAACATGAATCCAATCCATAAATTGCCGAAATTACACATTCAAGAGTTACATACAGTTGAGTTTAAAAATCAATACATATGTGATACTCATGCATAGGATCAACTTCCATAGAATGCTCATGTGCACAAAGTTCACAACAAAGATCAACATGGCATCCAACTCACACATTCTTCATGAAGGAATACAGATCAACAATCAGATATTTTTCATCAAAAATTTCAAAAATTTCACATATTTTTCACTAATGCAAGCAACAATTTAAAATTTCCAAACAACCTTGGTGTATCATACAAATAGTGCACCTCATCCCCCAACTTAAATCATGCATTGTTCTCAATGCAACAAAAAAGATATAGTATGCAATAAAGGACAATAAAAAGATGAGTAGGCTTAGAGAACACCTCGCAATTGAGTTTTTGACAAAAACAATAAGATCTGAAATAAAGAAAAACACAACTATACAACCAAAGAAAGTAAGTGACATGAAAATACAAATAACAAAAGTAAATGAAAGTAACTGTACACTAAAAAGAATATAAACACTGGCTAGTCCTCCACAAACTTCGGATACAAGGGATCCGTCAACTCTTCCTCCACTTCTTCCCCTTCAAAACTCTCGAAGAATGACTTAAGTCTTTGACCATTGACCTTGAAAGTTTGGCCATCTTCGGGGTTTGTGATCTCAACAACTCCGTTGGGGTAGGCCACCTTGAAAAGATAGGGGTCATCCCAACGGGATCGAAATTTTTCCTGAAAAATTGAGATGCGAGAATTGTATAAGAGCACTTTTTGACTGGGCCAAAATGATTTTCGTACAATAAAATTATCGTGAAAGATCTTAGCCCGTTCCTTTGAAATTTTGGAACTCTCATATGCATCCAATCGAATCTTTTCCAACTCATTCATTTCCAACTTCCTATGTTCATCGGCCATTCTCAAGTTGAAATTTAAAGTTTTAATGGCCCAATAGGCCTTGTGTTCCATTTCGACTGGCAGGTGACAAGCCTTTCCATAGACAAGCTGGTAGGGAGACATGTCCAAAATAATTTTAAAGGCAGTACGGTATGCCCATAGGGCATCGGTCAATCTTTCGAACCAATCCTTCCTATTTGGGTTGACCATTTTTTCTAAATGTTCTTGATCACCCTATTGGCTAGCTCGACTTGGCCATTCGTTTGTGGGTGATAGGCAGTAGATACTTTGTAAGTGACATCACATTTGAACATTAGGGATGCAAATGACCTATTACAGAAATGTGATCCACCATCATTTATTTTTGCACGAGACATCCCAAACTTTGAAAAGATGCTTTCCTTGAGGAACTTGACTATGACCCGGTGGTCATTATTCTTGGTCGGGATTGCCTCCACCAATTTGGACACATAGTCCACTGCTAGGAGGATGTATAAATAACCAAATGACATAGAGAAAGGACCTATGAAATCGATGCCCCAATAGTCGAATATTTCTATGACAAGCACAAGGGAGAGGGACATCATGTTTCTTCGGGTCACACTACCCAAACGTTGGCATTTGTCGCATTCCTTACAAAACGAAACACAATCTTTGAAAAGAGAGGGCCAGTAGAAACCTGATTGGAGAATTTTAGTTGAAGTCTTTTTCGCTGAAAAATGTCCACCGCAAGCTTGTGAATGGCAAAATGCAAGGATATCCCGCTGTTCATTTTCAGGTATGCATCTCCTCATTATTTGATCAGGGCAGTACTTGAACAAATACGGGTTATCGAAGTAGAATTACTTCACATTCGCCATAAATCGTCTTCGATCTTCTAGGCTCCATTGTGGTGGTATTTGTCATGTTACAAGATAGTTACATATATCAGCATACCAAGGACATACAAAATGAATTGAAAACAAATGCTTGTCAGGGGAAAATTCAGGGATAGGAATGTGCTCATCGTCCTCTTACACCACAAGCCGGGATAAATGATCCGCCACCACATTCTCAACTCATTTCTTGTCCTTGATCATCAAGTCTAATTCTTGTAGGAGGAGTATCCACCTAATGAGTCTCGGTTTTGCATCCTGCTTTGATAACAAATACTTCAAAGCAGAGTGATCAGTAAAAACAACAATAGGTGAACCGATGAGGTAAGAACGAAATTTATCTAATGCAAACACTACCGCTAGCAACTCTTTCTCGGTGGTAGTGTAATTCATTTGAGCCTCATTCAGTGTTTTGCTAGCGTAGTGTATCACATACAGTCTATTTTTCTCCCTTTGACCAAGCACTGCACCGACTGCGTAATCACTCGAGTCGCACATGAGCTTAAAAGGTAGGTCCCAACTGGGTGGTCGTATGATCGGAGGTGTGACTAGCATGCTCTTAAGTTTTTTAAAGGATGCCTCATAATCATCCAAGCACTCGAATGGGACCTCTTTAGATAACAGATTGGTCAAGGGTTGGACCAATGCACTGAAATTCTTTATGAATCGACGATAAAAACTTGCAGGCCCCAAAAACGACCGGATACTTTTGATGACTCTTGGCGTGGGGAGGTTAGAGATGACCTCCACCTTGGATTTGTCGACTTCAATACCCCTCGCCAAAACTATGTGGCCAAGCACAATTCCTTCCGTCACCATAAAGTGACACTTTTTCCAATTCAATACTAGATTTTTCTCCTCACATCTTGTTAGTACTTTCTCCAAGTTTGCGAAACATCCCTCCAATGAATCCCTAAATTCACCCAGTAATTTAACAATTGTAGTGCAATCTAAGCCTAATTTTATCAAATAACTCAACTATTTTTACTCAATTTTGAAATATAGTGTGACGATAAAAAAGTGAAAATGTATGTATTTACCTCATAGTAGTCCCATGTGTATTACACTTTCGATAACTATTAAGACTTAAACTCGTGACTATCTGATCTTCGTGAGACTTTTAGTCACTACGCCTTTACTATTAGAACACAATTTTTGTAATACTCTTGGGGGTCAACTTGAAATACCTTATATATGTTGGGTGCTTTTGAAAACTTGAAGGGTTAATGGCCCCCCTAGGCCCTAGGGTAGTTCCGCACATGCGAGTAATCATAAATAGTTAAGAAGACAGTATAATTGACATACAGAGACAAAATATTATCGAAACATAACATAGGAAAGATTACATAATGATGCTTCCCTAGTAGTTAAGATCATGAACAACCGGATTTATACGGAAAAAAGTTTAGGTCCACAAAGTCAGCTTGTTCTCTTACGAGAGTAGAACTTACAGTTCGCGCAAGCAGTCAACGTTTCCAAGTGATTGAGGAATCTCCCCACTGAGTTGATTGTCTTCCAAATGTCTGCAATGAAAGGCAGTTATTAAAAAATCAAAAACTGCATTCTGCCAAAAAATTGTTGTTTGAAGTCCCACAAAACCGAATAGTTAGAAACAGAATCCACACAACAAAGGAGTCATATGTAAGCAACATTTTATTCCTCGCTTACATTTCACTTCCCTTCACCCTTCACCAAAATCAGAGACCCCACAGAATGATCCTCTGACTCTAAATCAAGATACCGTTCTTTTGTGCTTTAACATAGAGCTTTTGTGATTCAAGTTACAAAATCCGAAGAAAAGAGCTCATTAGCATACAAGTCAATAAAACTTAAAGGCAAGATGCGAAGGTATGAGCTTAAAGTGTCCATAAGCTTAAAGTATATAGGGGAAGTGAGCCCTAATTAATAAAGTCAAGTTCCAAAAAATGAAAGATTAACGTGGACTCGACTACAAAAAGATCTACTCCAAAACAAACTAAAAGCATCCCAAAGGACATAAATTTCTCTTCTGAAATTGTAGTACAACTCAGATTGCCACATAATACTTAAAAAAAAGGCATTCAACGATGCTGACCCCCACAACAAAAAACAACAAACAAAACATGAAAAGAGCAATAAAACAAATCAGAGCAAAACACATGTTTTGCTAATCTCTACACTACTCCAACATCAACCATGCCTTGCCTAGAAATCCCTCATGAAAGCAACCAACTTCTCAACTCCAGCCAATGACATGGCGTTATTTATCGAAGCTCTCATCCCTCCAACTGATCTATGTCCATTGAGCTACACCATATTCTCCTTCGCTGCCTCCTTAACAAACTCAGCCTCCAATTTAGACTTCTCCAATGTAAACGGAACATTCATTAATGACCTCACAGATTTCTCAACGGGGCACCTATAGAACCCATTGCTCTGATCAATTGTATCATAAAGAAGCTGACCCTTCTTGATGTTCTTTTTCTCAATCTCAACCAAACCACCCTGTGCCAACAGATCCTCAAACACCAACCCACACATATAAATACATTAACAAGGAGGCGTATTGTATAATGAATTGTTCTCAGCATGAATCTGGTGTTCCAACATCACGGGAGTGATTGGCTGTGCATTTCTAATCAAATCTTTCCTAATAATAACAATAGTCACCCCAGAAGGATCAACATTTTTCTGCGCACCCGCGTAGATCACCACAAATTTGCTCACATCCACGGGCTTTGAACAAAAATTCTATGACATATCAGCAATCAATATCGCATCTTTGTTCTTGGGGGTTGGATAGTTCTTGAATTCAACCCCGTGAATGGTCTCATTTGCTCATATATGCAAATACTTGGCAGACGGGTTTTGTTCCAAGGCATCGAAATCAGGAATCTTTCTATATTTCTCCGATTTACCTGACCAAATCATAGTGGGTTTGCGGAATTTGACCGCTTCCTTGAAAGCCTTATCGCCCCAAGGCCCGGTGACAATATAATCAACCGAATCATCGGGGTTGCAAAGATTCAACGGGACAGAGGCGAATTGGGTGATGGCCCCACCTTGGAGGAAGAGCACGGCGTATTCTGACGGAACATCAAAAAGGGCGCGTAGATCTGACTTCGTTTTATGAATTATAGAGAGAAATTCCTTGCCTCTGTAGCTCATCTCCATGACGGACATACCCGAGCCACGCCAGTTGCAGAGCTCAGATTCAGCTTTCTTGAGGACAATATCAGGGAGTGCGGCGGGACCGACTTCGAAATTAAAGACGCGATATGAGGATTGGGAGGTGGCGGCGGGGCGATCTTGGAGTGGGGTGGTGGTTGAACAAGTGATTAATATGGGTTTGTGGGCGGTGGTGGTGGCAGCGCGAGATGGGTTGATTGGAAAGGTGGTGAATTGGGTTGTTGCAGTGGTTCTGAGGTTGGGTTTTTTGAGGAGGATAGAGTGCGCGGAAGATGAAGAGAAGGGGCTGTGAATTTGCAAGAGCGGGAGAGAGAAAAGAGGGAGACAAAGTCAGAGAGAGGAAAGAGAGGAAGAGAGAGAAGAGGGAGAGAAAGTAAGAATACAAGGAGACGTGAACGGTTAGATAATGGTAAAACAATTAAGTGTGGAGGATATGAATGATATAAATGTGATGTTGGACGATAAAATTGAAAAAAATATATTTTTTACTAATTTTTAAAAATAGTATAGATAATAGTAATACAAGGAAAGTATATTTAGTGTTATTATCAAATGTAATCTTTTAAAAATAAGATAATTGTAATGTCATATTTGATAAGTCAAGTTAACTTGGACACTTAGGAAAAAGAGAGAAAAAAAAATAAGAAAAGTACGAGACAAATTACATTGATCTTGTTTCAACTTTAAGAATTATATTGATGTTTTTAATTTCTTTTGAACATGAGTAACTAATTGCTTTGCGAACTATGTAATGGGAATACCAAAAAGGCTCGACTTGATTTATTTACTGCCTTGTTTCCAAGTAAAGCTCGAAAAAATTGATATGAACACTGGAACTTGTAAATGATCATGACAATTAAATAGTTTTGCAAGCAAAATTTATTCACCATGTTTGGCGTCTAAATTTTGTTCCCACCTTTTTGAACTTGCTATAGTTCCTCTATTGCGATAACCAGCCAAACCTTCATCTTGTTATTCGTTTGAGGATTTTCTCATTAACTTTTTATTTTCTATATACCTGACTAGCAAAGTGATAAGCTACCCACACGATCTAAACAAGTTGAAAATACACATCTTAAATGGATTTGAACTTAATCAATATTAAAAGCTTAAACATTTGAATTATTCTTTTCTTCTGGTTCTTTTTTCTTTCTTCTTCTTCAATTTCCCAATTAACTTGACAGAGTTAACAATTTTTTATTTTTTCTTTGCTTCAAATAATTTTGATTTGATTATAGTACTAAATTTATTTTTCTTGTATTACTGATATCACGATAAATGTTGTTTTGAAGTTTCTTTTCTAATACATAACTAAATATGGTTGGTGTTTACATTTAATTTTTAACATCTTTGATTAGTGGACGTTAGATCATGATCTAACAGTCCACATCAAAAGTACCCACTAAAGACTATAGTGCAGAACTTCCATGAAAGCACTATCATATATATATATATATATATATATATATATATATATATATATATATATATATATATATATATATATGTAATTACGTACATGTTAAAACAAGCCCTAGAAAATTGTTGATTAAATTTTTAAAGTTCAAATTGACATTTAATTTCATCCTCGAACATCATTCTCGCACCCTTAACTCTCCAGAACGCACCAATCCTACTTCGTCCGAATTCGCGTTCCAACTTACTTTCTCTTCATCAGTCGCATTCCTACTCCAAACTAACACCTTATTCATCCCTAGAATAGTTACGCGCACACTCTAAAGCTATCAATTCATAGCCTCACTGTCCAAACTATGAACCCCTGATCACACTTGCACTCATTCCTGACTCAATTTTCATTCTTTGAAGACTAGGTCATTACACTTATACATTTGTAATCTAGCACACACGCACACTATGTGTTTGATGTTTTAATTTTTAATCATTCAATTCATTAAAAGGAGTCTATGAGAAATTCCTTGGTTGAGATTGTTGTGAAAAGATTAAGTGTGTAATCGATTAATTGCATCTCACTATATCAACCTACATGATGGGGGTTCTTGGTTGGTAAAAAGGGCTCAATCACTTAATTATCAAAATCGTTCATTAATTTGATAATTGAGGTGTTGTGGGTTAAAATTGGTGATTGTTCGGACTAAAATTAGATTAAAATATTCACACCTTTATGTTGTGTCTTTATTCCACGTGTATAATCGTGAAGGACGATCCACCGCGCATCGTGTTTTCCCCCATTGGTATTAGAGCAGGTCTCTCTATAGAGTTGCATTAGGCACCTGTAGAAATTCTTTGTGTTTTTCTTACGTAACCTAGTTTTTGTTTGATTTGAGATTCATTATAACTGTTAGTTGGTTTATTAATGGATTCTTGACAAGAAAGAGGATCAGTCATGCAATCAAGCTTTTTGAGGGGCCAAATTATGCTTATTGGAAGGCATGAATGAGAGTTTTTCTCAAGTCACTTGATGAGCTTGTTTGGTTAACGGTGTTAGAAGATTGAACCCCTTACACAATAATGACTACTGAGGTTTCCAACATGATGATCAGACCAAAATTCCTTGATGTTTCTTTGAATGAGTTTTGGAAGATCTCCAATTTTGAGACTTCCAAGGGGACATGGGATATTCTAGAGTTCTCTCATGAAGGTACACTATTAGTGAAGATGTCCTAGTTCCAACAGTACACCACCCAATTTGAGACCTTGATGATGCAAGATAATGAGACCTTTAGTGATTTTTATACTAAATTGAGTGATCTTGTCAACTCATAATTTTCCCTCGGTTTTCAATATGAGGACTCCACAATTAAGTGAACAATATTGAGATCTTTATCGAAGCGGTTTCAAGCTAAGGTGACGACCTTAGAGACAGGAATCGATTTGGGGAAGGGGTCCGTAGAAGACCTAGTGGGGTTTATCTTGACTTTTGAAATGAATCTTCCACCATCCAAGAAGTATAAGGGCAGGGATCTGAGCTTAATTCAAGAAGAAGGAGATGCGTTTGAGTCACTTCATTTAGGACAAAAGAACCTAGGTTTTCTTGCTAAGAAATTCAAAAAAAAAAAAATTAAGGCTAGAGAATGCTCTAGATCGAAAGGCAAATTTAGTAGACCTAGGGTGCCCAAGGAAGGTTGAGAGGCAAAGGAGGTAGAAAAATTCATCCAGAGGCTGAAAAGAAGAAAGGGCAAGGGCTCTAATGCTATGAGTGTCAAGACTTTAGACACATGGTTGCAGAATGCCTAAATAGGAAGAAGGATACACCCAAGGATAAGAGTAGAACAATGAAAGCCAATTGGAGTAATAGTGAAAATGAGCCTACTTTGAGTGAGGACTCCTGTAAAACCCGGGTAAATTTGAACTTTTTGTACGAAGGGGCAAAATGGTAATTTATCACTACGGTGCAGGTTACAAACTTGAATTTTTCTAGATTTCGGATGACGAAACGAACCTTACCGTTGGATTCATCTCGCGAAATCTAGTTATCTTGTCAATTTTTGTCGAATTTTGAGACAGTTAAATTTTTTACGTTTTACGAGGTGATTGGGCCTCGGGTGACCCAAGGACGAAATTTTTAAATAAAATTGTGAAGGTTGGGAAATAATTAAAGGCGAGTTAAAATAAAAATATTTTGAACTTGAATTGGGATGAAATCTAATTGTTTCGGGACGAAAACAGATCCGAGAAATAAAAGGTCGTGTGGCGCATTGTAGGCCAAGTATTTAAAGAGTATAAATAGGGAAAAAATTTGATTTCTCCCCCATTTCTTTAGCCAGTTATACGTTAGAGAGGAAGAGAGGGAAAGAGCTTGGATTCATCACCTTCTCTCTATGATCTATGGAGATTGATTGTTCCAATCTATTAGTGCTAAGAACAAAAGTTGTTCTCCTCACCGAAAGCTATACAGCCATACCAAGGAGGTTAATTTTTACCGAAGATCAAAGAACGGAATTTTAGAAAAGTGAGGATTTGGGCTAAAAGTGGGTTCTTAGAACCGCCTACGAGTGTTCTCCACGCTTCAAGAGTTAGGGGTCTCTCCTACTTAGGTGTATTCCAAACCTATGATGTTTATATGAAATGGGTAGGTTAATAGATTTAAATATCACTTGCCTATTGTTGGTGGTTTGGTGAAATGGGTATAGGAAATGGGTAGGGCAAACTCTATCTTGAACTTGAGTTTATGGGAATTGCATAATGAAATTTCTTTGAGAAGTGTGATATATGGGCATGCTATGTATTTACATTATGCCCTGATGAATTCAAAGTGTTGATAGCATGATTGTGTGATAACATGCTTAAAAGTGGTGTTGTGAAAATAGTTGATGTATATACACATGCTTGTGATATATTGGAATTGATGGAGTATGGAAATTATATGTTTAGAGTGAAATCATCCATAGTATGTATTAAGATTGTTCATATGTCATCCATAGCATATTGAGCATCGTATTGTTGTTGAAATGAGGCATCACAATGCATATGCACGGGGACATCGCACTATATGGGCGTGTGTGTACATGGTTGTTTGTCAACACCACGCTCGGTGGGCTCGAGTAAGCTTGGTTGAAGACCTGACCGAGTCTCACAAATTACATGGTGATTAGGGTTGGGGTTAGCAAGAAGGACTAGAAGATCCCTCGGGTGCAAGGCCCAGTGATGGGATATGCACTCTCTTGGTTTAGTCCATGAAGTGTGTGGGTGTACACGGAACTCTCGGTGGAAGTCCGTGAATTCCGTGTAGGTTGGGTGACCCTTGGTGTGAGTCCATAAATATTCACCCCCTAGAAAGACTCTAGATTAGTGAATGTCATTTGATGTGCAACATAAATGACAAATTCACGCACATTAGCACTTGCATGTGTTGAGGAGTCGGGAAAGGTTCGGGTTGATGTGCATGAGTGAGTCTTATCTCATTCTATGGCATGACATTTTAAATTCCAACATTAGAGGCATATTCTTGCTTGGAATGTTATGATATTGTAGATTGTTAGTATGCAAACATTTCATATGCATTTAGGTGGAGG